GTGTTTCTCTCACTGGTATCGGAAAAGCACAAAGTGTGGGAAGTAGCATGATCTGTTTGGTTGCTTGTTAAGCTGAGCGGCCAGAGTTGATTTGTGTGCACATCCGTCTTGCGTACGTCCAAGCAGAACTTGGTCAGCATGCTGCGTAACAGACCTAGCTCCAGATCTAGCTTGAGGGCTTGGGGACGACTCATGCGTTAGCAGGTCAAGAGAGAGAGATTTTGGGGGGAGAACCACAAAACTGCATATTTTTGTTCCCCTCAAAGGCACCAGACATGCAGTGAGGCCGGAGACCGTCCACTGGTGGGTTGCGAATCCCATGGAGTGCGTAGCTTGACTTGAAAATGTGGTAGGAATGTCCATTTCCCCTCTTGTTCCATTCACCAGGTAGGCTGGATAGTCTGGATCGGTTCTACGATAACTGATTCCTCCAGATAGAGGCCTCAAGCCAGAAAAGCACATGCTTACGTCCACCTTTATTCAGGAAATCACTTAAACATGTGCTTAAATTTTCATTCCTAAATAGAGATGAGTCCTGGATTGGGGCTTGAATGATTTCTGTCATTACTTAAAATAATAACCAGCCTCTTCAGTGACTCCTGATCCTGAAAGCCCCATGGGTGGAATGTTCTGAAACCAACATGGTTCCACTAGGAAATGATCCTGTATGAGATGATACATATTGTCCAGAAATAGCATCAAGACACTGCAGTTCTGTATGGTGAGAGGTTTTGTCTTGGGGCTAGTGTGGTATTGCTTTGTAAGGAGGGACCCATTGACTGTGACACTTCTTGAGGAGAAAGAAGAACAGGAGGACTTGTGGCACCTTAGAGACTAACAAATTTATTAGAGCATAAGCTTTCGTGGACTATAGCCCACTTCTTCGGATTCTTCTTGAGGAGACTTGATCAACCTTAGGAAAACTCCCCAAGCAACTGCTGCGTTTTATGGCAGGACAAATTCTGACCTCATAGGGCCTGATCCTGATCCCACTAAAATCAATGGACCAGATCTTCAGCTGGTGTAGAGTCAGTGGCTCCATTGATTTTGATGGAGCTATGTCAGTTTATACCAGCTGAGGTCTGGCCCAGTGGGACTTTTGCATTGACTTCAAGAGGAGCAGGACCATAATATGAATCTGTTAGAGCCATTGCAATAGGGTTTTGAAGGTGTCGGAGGGTCCTGAGCTTTTCCTGGGTGCTGCTGGCTCTTTTGGAAAGCTTGGCTTGAAATAAAGGAAGCAAGACAAGGAATTGAACTCATTTATCATGTTCTCTTTAAGGGCACACAAGTTGTTTTTACACCCAAGAGCCAGGCCTCTCTCCCTTTGCAGCTGGGAGTTGGCTGGCTTCTGCTTTTCCCTACAATCTGATATGTTACAGGGATGGATGGGTGAAGAATGGAACATACCATCCCGGTCGTGCCAAGGAAAACTCAATTCCCGTGCTGCTTTGTGGCCAGAATGCTCTCGTTTTTTGGTAGCTCTCTGCGATGCCGCCTGGCTCACCATTTCTTCCCCTCCAGGCTGGTCCCTTTCTGATACCGACTGGCGTTTAAGGTGAATGTGACACTTCTGTAACTTCCCTGGCTGATAAATAACTAACTGCACAAAGGTTATAACAATAGCCAGGCAAGTGTGAATGTATTTGCTCTGGCACTTTCCTCGGAAAGGCTTTTAAGTTTGGCAGAGGCTTTTCACCTTCCAGTTCATTGTATGAAGGAGCCACCGTATGTCAAGGATCATTGGTCCAGCTCACACAGAACTATTTTTTAACAAATAGATGGTCTTTGCCAGATTTTCAGTAGCAGCAGCCGTCTCTAGCTCGGCCGCAGTTAACAACCCCTGGTCTGGGAGCTGCAGAGAGCCCTGGTAACGCACTCTCGAGGAAGCAAGGAATCTCAGGTGTCAGCAAAACGCTTTTATTTAACCATCAGCAACATGGGGGTGCTACTGGATTCAGTGTCTTACTCGGAGAAGCCCCAAGCTCTTTCCATTCCCATGTCTCTCTCTCTAGCTTACTTCCAGGAGCGCCGCCAGCTTTTTTGGCACCCTAGGCGGTGGAAGGTCCCGCCCCCAAAATGCTGCCCCCGACATAGGCTGCGGAAGGTCCCGCCCCCAAAATGCTGCCCCGACAGAGGCGGCGGAAGGTCCCGCCCCTGAAATGCCGCCCCCGACAGTGGCGGCGGAAGGTTCCGCCCCCGAAATATCGACGGCAACCGGGGCGGCTGAAGCTCCAGCCACCGTGGTCGCCTCCCCCCAAATGTTAGCGCCCTAGGCAACCACCGAGGTCGCCTAATGGGTTGCGCCGGCCCTGCTTACTTCCCGTGAGCTCCTAAAAGGCCCAAAAGATGGTAGTGGGCCCCACTGACACGCACCACTAAGGGAGTAAGCAGAACGGAGCCTTCGGACTCTCTGCCCTGTTAGAAAGAGTAGGAAAGAAAGCTGTGTTTGTCAGGGCGAGTGGGTCGAGATGGGGCGGGAAAGAAGTGTTGGGTTTGAGCTCACGAGGCCTTCAACTGGTAGAGAGCGTGGAAGAGAAACGTACCGCACAGCGACACCCAGGCTCTGGCTGATTCCAGTCCTTCCCCTAGAGCTGTACCTGAGGTCTTCGCCACAGCCCTGCCTGACCACCAGTGAAAGATGACTTCTGCTTGGCAATTTTTGCTGACCCTCTGGGTGGTCGTCAACTGCTGCCTTCAGGACGGTGCAGTCCCCTAGCCCAGCGTCACTGTCAGGCCCTCTATTCTTTTAATATTTGCAAATTAAAAACGGAAGAGTTTTTGAGTGAATAAAAAGCTTTGGTTGATTAATAAAGAGCCTGTTGAATCTTCTCTTTTGTAACAGTGTAAGTTTTCCCTTATGGACAGGCAAGTCTGTTGCTGGAGCCAGACGTTACTTGCAGGGCTGTTTGAGAACTCAGCAATAGTGTATTTTCTCCCTGAGGGGCAGCATGTTCCAGTGGGGAGGGTACGGGACTGGAACTGGTGAGACCTGGGTGCTAGTCGTGCTTCAACTCTTGACTCACCGAGTGGCTTTGGGCAAGTCACGTAGGCCAAACATTTCAAACGTGGCCAATGATTTTGGGAGCCTGACTTTGAGATGCCTTCAGCCTTGTTTTCAGAAGTGCTGAGCATCCACCCCTCCAGCAGAAAGCCACGGGAACTGCAGCTTCTCAGCACCCCTGAAAATAAGTCAGAAGGCATCTCACCTGAGAAAACGGCCTTAACCTCTCTGTGCCTCAGTTTTCCCATCTGTAAAATGGGGTTGACACCTACCCAGTCTTGTAAAGTGCTTTGCGATCTACATACAAAAATGCTGTCGGAGCGCTAAGTATTATGTGACTATTATTTATTATTAGTGAATCGATTTTGCACGGTCTCCAGAAAATGAAACACAAAGGAACCATGAGTAACGGGGAAATCACTTCCTCCTGGTTTTGGAATATTCAGTTTATTTCACCAAGTCATTACCTTTTTAAAAAATATCTGGGTCATTATTAAAAAACAACCACGGCAACTGATGTATTTGTTTTTGTGATGTTTTCTGCACAACATTTCCCGAAATGTTCCTGGACTAAAGAGAGAAGAGTGGTGCAGCTGTGACATTTGAAAAAACAACCAGTAATGGA